CATTACAGCTCACAGCAACCTCCAACTCCTGGGCTCAAGTGAGTCTCCTGCCTCTGCCTCCCAAGTAGCTGGGACCACAGGCGCCTGCCACAACACCTGGCTATTTTTTCGGTTGCAGCCATCATTGTTGTTTGGCGGCCCAGGCTGGATTTGAACCCACCACCTTAGGTGTATGTGGCTGATGCCTTAGCTACTTGAGCCACAGGCGCTGAGCCACTGTCACTATTTTTATTTAAAAAGTATTGGATATATTCTAAGGCTCGAATTTTGTCCTAGAATGATAGATGAAAAAAAATTTCAAAGTTGTTAAATAATAGCATGTTCTAAGAGTATAATTTTCATTAAAAAATCAGTTGCAAAGCAAAATTATATTATCAAAATCAATGTAACATTTGCTTAAATATTAGAAATGGCTTTATGAAATTTTAACTGGAAGGGGCATAATGTCAAAAATGCTGCTCAACAGACAAGGCAACAGCTTGAACATCCCCCCCCCCCCCAAGTCCACTGACACTGCTCCTCCAAGCCTCACGGAGACACAGCATAGAACACGTCCTTGGAACGTACCCTGTCCTTTCAGCTATGTGATGTTTGGAGATGACATCAAGCTAATCTATTCTCTAAATCATGCCCTGTCCGACATGGTCATCAAACTACGAACAAGGAAGGACAAAAAGTGTGTCTCTTAAGAGCTCCTTTTTCTCAACTTGCATAACAGACATGCAAAAGGTGACAAGAATGCTCTGCTAGTGACCACTACGGCCCTCACAGCCATCAGGTATTTCAGGTTGAGGGTCAGGGTTTTGAGCACAGGAGAGAAAACACTAATTATTGTGCAGTAACTTCCCTCAGACTCCCAAGGCCACTCAGCTTCTGCCAACTGTCACCCACCTCATTACCCACCAGCAAAGAGAAGTCAGCCTACAAGAGCTCCCTTGCCTCCTCACTGGTTTCTGGAATCTACCTTGGAGCCCTCCTGAAGGAGTAAGGAAACTCTCAGGAAGGAAAGTTACTTGAAAAGCCATGTTAAATAACACAAGTGAGGACTAAGGTTTGCAGCTATTTTATTTACAAGTATACATTTAACACAATGAAATAAACACTGATATATTGAAGCCTAGTAAATAGTAGTGTAACAATGTATCATTTTGATGATTACATTATTTTAAACAACAAACTACGCTGAAAAATTAATGTCAATAAAATTCTTGGTCATAATATTAAGAAATACAATATATAAATTGAAAATATGATTGCTTAAAATTTGAAAATGGAAGTGAACTCATTTGGACAGAGTCAGAGTTTAACATAATCTGAAAGGGGAAAGGGTAGGAAGCTCTGACCCAAATGATATCTTTCAGGTTAACAGAAGAGAAAAGTAGCATAGTTTATCTTAAAGGATGACGGGCAGTCTGCTGCTTCAGGTAGAGTGTATTCCCAGTGTCCTCAGGTTCCGCAATAGAATTACATCACTGAGCATGAAGACTTTCCTTGTGAAGCTGCCCCATCAATTTTTTCTGCCTCCAAAATTATCCTTCTAAAAACATCAACAGCAGTCTGGAAAAGAAAGACAAAGCCAATCACACTGCCAGTCTGAAAGCAAAGCTCTGATAGACAACTCACCGTGGAGGCCCTCCCACTGAAGAATTCTGATATATCTAGAACTTCAGGGCCCTGAGCCCCTGTGAGGCACACCCCATACCTGACTCCAGACCACATCTAACCTCATATAGTGCCTCTGACCCCTTTTCCCTGGTCACTACCCAGCACCTCCTGTCCCAGTCTCCAGTACCCTCTTCCAGTGCCCTCTGGCTAGACCCCTTTGTGTATAGCTCTAATTTCCCTTGAGAAGCAGCCTCCTCGGTAGCCCCTTCCTTCTCTGACATCCCCAACACCATGGGGTCTCACGTAGGGAAGCCACCCTGAGCTTGCTGTCCCCACAATATTCTCTAACACCCTGGCTTCTCCTCTCCATGGTCAAACCCTACCAGTTCTCCACAATGAGGAGTCACGATCACCTGGGGCAGGAAATCCTTTCTTACACTGCAGGAGGATGAGAACTGTCAGTCTCTGTCCTTTAAATATAATCATTGTGATCTCAGAGAAAATGCCACTGCTCTCAAAAACCCCTCAGGCAGTGCCTAAGATCTCATTACTTATAGCCACCCCTCCTCTGTCACTCCTATTTCAAGTATCTACCACATACCTTCCCAGCACACTACTGATAGATATCCTGAATGCTTCAGGGGACCCGATTCACTTACCCCACTATTCCATCTTCTTTGTCCCTTATTCTCACTTTTCTCTTTGGCCAGCTTAAGACCCCACAGTCCACCCTGTGTCCCTAAACTTCACCCCCCCCTTCTCTACCACTGCCATTCACATGGTGCCTGCAGCCACACAGCTAATGCCCTTACTGCCCACTTTATATCCATGACCAGGAGCCTTGCATGGACCTTTGGTATTGCCCAGTAAGCCAACTACACCCCCTAAACTTGTCATTCTCCAGACAAAGGCCATAGTCCTGTCCTTTCTCCTCTAATCTCCCTCTAGTCTCACACTGAGTTGAAAACCTTGACTTATACATCACTGGCCAACAGAAGACACATTCAGAAGAGACCACCATGTATTCTGTGCACCGAACAGACCGACTCACTCGAATCTGGGTCCCCACTGGTGTGAACAAGGTGTCTGCACTCCTGATTCATCTAAAGCCAAACCTAGGCCCCAGACCTCTTGTCTGATCCAGGTCACCTAATTAGAGAGCACTGTGTAGAGCAGTGGTTCTCAACCTGTGGGTCGCAACCCACAGGAACTGTATTAAAGGGTTGCATTAGGAAGGTTGAGAACCACTGGTGTAGAGGAAAAAGGACCAGATGTGGGTTAGATTTAAAACTTAGCCCTAGTTCTTATACCACATAAGCTCAGAGTGATCTTCGAGAATTCATTTAACCTGTTTGGATCTTAATGCGATGATTAAATAAATAAAAAAAAAAAGGACATGCCTGATTAGATGATCCTGAGAACCGAATAGGTACCCAATGAACAAATGGTTCAATTAAAAAAAACCAAGTTTACTGCCTCAACTCTTACCTGAACTGAACTGATTCAGATAAATCCTTTGTTATCTGGAACTTGGGAACCATACACAGGTTCAATATCACTCCATATGAGAACACAGCAAGAAAGAGATTTGGCTGTCAGAGCTGAGAGATGACCTACCAGATACACAGAGGCTGTGCTGAACGTTATAGAAAACATAAAAGTAGGCTCGGCGCCTATAGCTCAACCGGCTAAGGCGCCAGCCACGTACACCTAAGGTGGCGGGTTCGAATCCCCAGCCCGGACCCGCCAAACAACAATGACAGCTGCAACCAAAAAATAGCCGGGCGTTGTGGCGGGCGCCTGTGGTCCCAGCTACTTGGGAGGCGGAGGCAGGAGACTCGCTTGAGCCCAGGAGTTGGAGGTTGCTGTGAGCTGTAATGCCACGGCACTCTACCCAGGGGGACAGCTGAGGCTCTGTCTCAAAAAAAAAAGAAAACATAAAAGTAAACGACACTGCCTCACATCTCAGAATTAAGGAGCATAAAACAAAGAAACTATTATTCCTTTCAGTTGAAAGTTGTTTTAAGATAAATGAATTGAGAAAAGGTCAATGGGAAGGGAAAACCTAAGCATGGCCTTTTAAGACCAGGGCCTTCCCATCGGGGGAAAGAGCTGAGTAGGTTGGGGGAGATGTCCGCATGGGAGTTTCCTCAGAGAAATCAAAGTGTATTAATCTTACACGCAGCTCAAACAAGATCACATGCTGAACACACTTTCAAAACTGTAAACCCCCATATGAATGTAAATAGGTGAGAAATGAGGTAAGATGAGATATTCTGAAAGTGCTCACCATTTGGGAGTGGGAGTAGTTTGGTGTGACTAAAGCATACAGGGATGTGGTGAGAGAAAAAACCAGAAAAGAACAAGTCATAGACCACAGGTGGTGGCACACAAAGGGCTCTGAGCCTTGTTCCACACTAATAGGTGGTTCTCCGACAGTTTCTGAGTAGACACCGTCTGATGAGTAGGTATAGAAAGTTAAGGGCAACAAAGGGAAATATATTGGTGAGAAATAATGGAGGGAGGAGATGCCTTAAGTCTGGGTAAAAGAACATGGGTCAAAACTAAAACAATGAAAGAAATAGTCATCTGAAGCCTCTGGAACAGAATTTATATCCTTCTGAGGACATGCCTTTAAGGAACATCTGCTGGGCTGAAAGTGGCAATAAATGCAGTAAATGGCTCTTAATCACTTCTATGTTAAAAATAACACCTATATCTCACTCAGTTTCATCCCACAGAAAGGGGGCAACTACAAAATTACTGCCAGAGTGTTTTAAGATAATTCTTGCTTCTTTTCCATGTCTCTACTTCTTTCTATAACCAGCTATTAATACAAAAGAAAAATAGTATGTCCCAAAAAGGCAGTGTTTCCTTTACTATTAACTTCTGTTTAACCACAAATGTCCTACGGTTCCACTGTAAGTAGAATACTGAATTCATAAAAACCTAAACAGCATCTTCCTAAAGTAACCCAGTACTTGGTATTAGAAATGGTAGAAGGGTGGTGCCTACAGCACAGTGTGTAGGGCACCAGCCACATACACCTAAGCTGGCAGGTTCAAACCCAGCCTGGGTTAGCTAAACAACAATGACAACTGCAACATCAACAATAACAACAATGACAAATAGCTGGGCGTTGTGGTGGGTGCCTGTAGTCCCAGCTACTTGGGAGGCTGAGGCAAGAGAATCACTTAAGCCTAAGAGTTTGAGGTTGCTGTGATGCCACAGCACTCTACCCAGGGTGACATAGTGAGACTGTCTCAAAAAAAAAAAAAAAAAAAAAAAGAGAAAAAAAAAAGATATGGTACAAGGCTAAAAATTAAGGAGGCTTGATAAAGACAGAGGTCAATGATGACTAAGAGGAGAGTGTAATACCTGTGGCTGATGAGGAAGCAATGTGAGATGGGAATTTGGAGAATGTGTACCTGATTTTCCTTAGCAGAAGATTCCAAAAAAGCTGCGTTCCAAGATTCTGCCAAAGCTTTCCCTTCTTCATAACTGATCACCCTAAAGGAAAAAGAAAGTATTAATTAAAGTACTTTGCTCTTTATTACATAAAATATCTGTAATTGATTTATGAAACAGGCTCCACTCTGATCAATTTTTCCTTGTGAAGCAGAACCATGCTCCGACTAAATATCATCATCAAGAATGGAACACAGGAACCTTTTCATCACGCCTGAGTTGGGAAGTAGAATAGACATTGCCTTATGGGGTTATCCATGCTCCAGCAAACCCTTCCAGCTCAGAGAACATGACTGTACTTTCCACTACTCCAATATCGGTAACAATCAGTTATTCTCTGGCTAAGTTTTAAGCACACAAGGCCAGGAGAAATTGTGAAAGGGCTCATAGTTCAAGTCTGTTGTGTGCAGGCTGCAAGAGTTTCTTTCCTGTCACTGAATTCCATGGCATGGGATTCTTGCCTCTCTTGCTCACCACTGTAATCCCAACTCCTAAGAGTATCTGCTTAACGAATGTGTGCTACCTTTGTTTTTTTAAGAGTTTGCTTTACGCAAAATGTTAGATAGCCTAAGATAATTTCCTATAAATTTCTCTCTAGAGGAATGTCAGACTTACATTGACATTTTGCTTCTACTATGCACAACCATAACATTTCTCAATAGAAATGCTATAATCACAATAATCTTGCCATCAGAATAATTTAAAATGGCACTCCAATGACTAAACCACCTCAGACTTGATTCTGTAAAGCAATAATCTTTTAAATGCCACATACCTTTCCATATGCAGGTCTTTCTTATTCCCAACCAACATAATAGGTATTCTATTTATAAGAAAAAAAAATCCAAAATGAACTAATCAGTGCCAGTTTTATTGCTCAGAAGATACTACTATCACATGTTTATCTAACAAGAGATAAAATGGTACTATACTTACTGCACTTTCCCCACCATATCCAGCAATTTGCCATGGATAACTTTAATCACTTCAAAACTATAAAACAAAAAGTATGAAGTTAGACAACCATTTTAATGTTAAAATTTTATTATGTTAAATTTTAATTTATTGTCAATACTTTGTAGAGATGGGGTCTCCCTATGTTACGTTGGTCTCAAAGTCCTGGCCTCAAGCAATCCTGCCTTGGCCTTCCAAAATGTTGGTGATGACTCGGCTTTAATGCTGAAGTTTTTTTTTTTTTTTTTTATTGAATGGTAACTATGTACATTAATGCATTTCTGGGGTACAGTGTGGGGTTTTCACATGCAATCCGAACTACTTCCATCAAACTGGTCAACACAGCCTTCATGTCATTTTCTCAGTTATTGTTTTAAAACATTCACATTCTACTCTTAGAAATTGCTGAAGTTTTTATAATTATAATAGAACTACAAAATGTCACAGACTCACCATTTCAACATAAACAGAACACAAAAAAATGTTCATTTTTTCCTACCACTCTTTTCACAAGTATGTATATTTGATGCTGGGTAATTCTTACTGAGAGTATTCAAAGTGAGACATTTAAAAATAGGAAAGTTGAATATTGGGCTGATATAGATACAAATTTTAATCTCCCAATTCATCCAGCAACAAACGAACTATTTACAGTTTGCACAATTAGCTAAAGCACCCAAGTACTTGCCTCGCTCCCCTTTTCTTTTCTAGGTACATGCATTCTTTGGGTGAAGACAAACTCTCTAGGCTTTAAATACAAGCCATTTGCTGATGACTCTAAGTTAGAGGTGGCTCACACTAGCCAAGGGTATCTTAGACTCAAGTCTGCAATACAATGTGCCACGATGATGTTCTGAAATCTGCCTGCTGGGATCTATACCACCCGTCATGAACCATTCCTATCTTCACTTAAAAACCTACTCTGTAAACATTTGCCCACACATCAGTCACTCTACCTTTGAAGCCTACTCAGAATCTGACCACATCTCGCCCCCTCTATCGCTGACACCCAGGCCTGAGCCTCCCCACATGTACCTGCATCTCCACAATAGCCTCCTTCCTCTCCAGTCCTTGCCAAGCAAGGCCAAATCTCTACTTCACCCAGTAACGCCAATCTCGACCTCCAATTCCACTTCCTGCTACTATCTCCCTCCTCCTACCCAGGAGTGCGCTGGCCTCCTGCTCTAACAAGCGGCTGCCTCCTTGTGCCTGGAATGATGTTCTCTCCCTAAAGATCTTAAAAGAAGTTCCTTCTCTTCTTTTCATCTCTACTCACACGTCACTGTCAGTTCTCTTCTGTTCACTCATCAGATTTACACAATTCTCCCCATTTCCTATCCCTTTCCCTGCCTTACATTTCTGGTTAGCACTATCACAGACATACTATTTCACACCTTTATCTTTTCACTGTCTCCCACACCAGAAATAAGCTCGACAAAGACAGGGATCTGTCTGCTCTGTTCACTGTTGTTATCTCAAGCTTTGCAACAAGTAAGCTTGCTGAATGAATCACACTGTGCTATTTTAAACTATGTACATTGTTACTTTGATAAAAATAAAAGTTAACGCTCTCCCTCTCCAGCTCAGCTCACAGTGGGTCAATCACCGGATGTGGGTGTCCTCAGTACTGGGGGTTGTATTACAGAGTCACAGTTCCCCTCCATGGGCCATATCTGCTACATCCTATTGCTAAAACCCTGTGACCTCTTGGAAAGGGATACAGTAACCAGTTATGTGAGAAACAGTAATAGCTGAAAGAACTGGGACTGTGTCTAGGCAGCTTGGACCCAGGGCTCCCCAGCCTCCTGGTAGCTATACCTTGTTCATCTCCCTGAGTGTAGGTTGGCCCTAGAGACTGCTAATGAACAGAGTATGGTAAAAGAAATAGGATGTCATTTCTGAGGTTAGGTTATAAAAGATTGTGACGTCTGTCTTGTTGGAAATTCTCCAACTCTTGTGTGCTTGCCCTGATGGTGATCTGGTAAAGAACTGAGGTGGCCTCTGGCCAGTGAGGGACTAAGAATCACAGCCTAACTACTCTAAAGAACTAAATCCTGACAACAGCCACATGAATCAGCCTGGGAACAGTAGAAAGTACTGGTTCTGCATGAGTCTAACAGACTATAATATTAGGATGAAGAGAGTATCTTAGGAGGGCAAACTTAGATTTTATTTAAAAAAGAAACGTTTCTCTAAAATAGCAGAGAGCTATGGCTATCTTAGAATGGACCGAATGTGCAAAGCAAACCTGGAAGAACTTAAAGTTCTAAGGATTCACTTTATCTTCAGAACAGAACTATGGCTGAAGTGTAAGAGTCAAATTACAATCTCTCAGCCAACCCTACTTAAATGAGTTGCCAGATTGAAAGGTTAAAGCCAGCAGTTCCTGAATTACTAGTCATAATCCAGTATTAGAAAATGTTATTGGCCAGGCGCAGTGGCTCATGCCTGTAATCCTAGCACTCTGGGAGCTCCTGAGCTCATAGGTTTGAGACCAACCTGAGCCAGAGAAAGATCCCTGTTTCTAAAAATAGCCAGGCATTGTGGTGGCCGCCTATAGTCACAGCTATTCGGGAGGCAGAGGCAAGAGAATCACTTGAACCCAAGAATTTGAGGTTGCTGTGAGCTGTGACACCATGGCACTCTACCAAGGGTGACAAAGTGAGACTGTCTCAAAAAAAAAAACAAATCAATTTAGTGGGTTGTTTTTTAAAAAGTAGCATTTTACAAAAGAAATAAGTAGTGCATTACACATCAATCATACACATATTTTCACTGTAATAATTTGTTGTGCTGTAGCTAAAAAAAAGTCCAAGAAACGGTCTTAGTGGGAGCTTAATAGTGCATTTACAGAAGATGGGATCCATTTGTTCCCAAACTAGTTTATGCCAGTTAAATTCATCAGCAAAGTCATAATTTATCTTATTAACTTTTGAAATATGAGTATACAGAGTTTTTGTTTCTCTGGAAACTAAAAATTAGATACTGTGGCTTGATCTACAAAAACAGTGCTCCTTATTAAGGAAAAAGATTGGTGGGAAAAAATTGCACTAATCTGTAAACAATTGAGATGCAGACTATTATTTCACTTTGAAGAAACTGAACTGTAAATCACAGCTGACGCATTATGGATACAGACAATACAAGGTGGGTAAACTCATTCAGAGATGATGATTTAAAGATTTCACATTAGTGACTGAATACCTATTTATGCTTTAAAATAAAACCCTGGAGATTCATATCATCTTTCTGATTTTTTCCATTAGCCAATGTGTTAAAATAACTATCTTGACTGCCTCAGATAAGCTTTCTGATCAAATATGTTGATAGCTGACAAACCTAGACATTGCAAAGTCCCATCACTTTGCAATGTCAAGTTTTCAGTGGAGATAGATGAAAAGCCAAATGAAAAAGCTCTTTTCCATTCTTAGAAGCTATAAAATAGGCTGTGTTTTTTGCTGTATGTTTAGTTAGAAGAAATAATTCTCCAGCTTTATGAAACAAAGGAAAAATCTGGGACTTCTGTCTTATTTCATAAAATGATGAACAATGGCTACAATTTAGGTAGAAGCTAAATCCAGTGAAAAGGTTAACCAGTGCCGATTAATAAATTGTTACTACTGAGATACCACAGCAAGCCTTTTCTGCATTATATTACACCATAGTATTCTCAAGTATATAAAGCCTTTAGCAAGCAAGTTTTCATATTTTTAGATCTAGCTTTTTGTATTTTTCAATTTCCCCAGTGACAAATACTATATTTTCGACATGATTCTTTTTTTTTTTTTGAGACAGAGCCTCAAGCTGTCCCCCTGGGTAGAGGGCTTGGCTTCACTGCTCACAGCAACCTCCAACTCCTGGGCTCAAGTGAGTCTCCTGCCTCTGCCTCCCAAGTAGCTGGGACCACAGGCGCCCGCCACAACGCCCAGCTATTTTTTGGTTGCAGCCATTATTGTTGTTTGGCGGGTCCGGGCTGGATTCGAACCTGCCACCTTAGGTGTACGTGGCTGGCGCCTTAGCCGCTTGAGCCATAGGCGCCAAGCCTCGACATGATTCTTAAATGTCATCTAACTTGTGCTCATCAAAAAAGGGAGATTAAAAAATAAGTGCATTAAGAACATTTTCTACCCATTATTTTAATTCCTCAGAATAACAATTTATAAAGTAACCAATACTATTGTCTAATAAAATTATAATTAAAAATAATGGAATGACCTTTGAGAATAGTGTTTTTAGGTAAATTAGTAAAACAATAGGAATTTATAAACAAATCTGATTTTGCAACAGTCATCAGATTATTGATATATTAAATCTGTTCCAGTTGAAGTATTACATGGCAGTCATGTAAACTGAAAATCTTGGAATTTACCGAACATATGAGAACTGAATATGAGTTATGTATATAAATAAATTTTAAAAACACATAGGAAAAGCTTTGTTTACTATTTAAAGTGTGCTTGTAAGTCAATAAAAAAATATGCCAAGTCCCAAAATAATATCTGGAAAGTGGTTTTATGCATAAAAATCTAATCTAAGCATTCTTTTAGTAACAAAAATGTAAATACAGGAAATAGGTAGCGAGGTATCCTTCTACCCTTGAACAAAGGATTTATATAGCAAACTGCTATTTTCAAACAGTAGGTAATATGGAAACATGTATATAACATAGTAAGTAAAAATATAAAAACATTAAAAAAACATAAAACTGCACCCAAAGAGGAAATATAAGTTCATTAAAGCAAAAGAAATCACTAAAACAAAGAAATACACTAAGATATTTACAATATCTATGCTTCCGGGGTAATTACATTGAAGATAACTGATACCCCACACTCCTGCTTTCTAGTTTCACATTTCCCCAGTTTTCCTTCAGAATCTGGCACTCAGTTTTGGTTCAGGCATGAGCTTTCCCAGGGAGTGGCAGTATGGGTTCTGTTTAGAAGAATGGCACAGTCCTAAAACAGTGTATGTAAAATATGCTTTCTTGCCATAAAGAAAAACATTAGGTAACACACTCACAGAGAAACTGACTGAATTATCACTAGCAGCAGAGTGTGTGCTGGTAAGGAGCCCAGACACTACTCAAGATGGTGGCCACCCGCTACATGTTGCTCTTGAGCATGTGAAATGCGGCTAGTGGAACTGAGGGACTAAATTTTTAAATTTTGTTGACTGTGGAAAGACAGACCTGAACCCCAGCACTGTCACTATACTGTCCATGAACCTTGGACATTCAGTTTCTATGTAGTGGGCAGTAAAACATCCCTGGTAAGGGACTGTTCTAGGTAATAAAAGAAATGATGTATATGTAGCCAAGAGAGCAGCAAATTCCCTGACACATCCCGCACACTTGTTAGATGTTTGCCACCCCCCAGCCCTCCACTAGCACTGACATTTTCATAGTCTTCAAAGACAAGCCAGCTGTTCTAATCACAGACACAGACCACTCCTCCTTGTGACAATATATGCTACCCCTAATAAGCCCTGATAACAGAGATGACATATGAAATACGTCGCTAGAATAATGAGAATCCATTCTTACTAATAAACACAGTGGCTCTATTTTTATGTAGTAAAGACCCTACTGCTAAAAGTTCTTCTTTCATAAATGGTTAAGGATAAAATAGTCAACAAACTGAAATCTCCAAATTGTATTAGAAAGTCTATCTCACATTAATATGGTGAACACACACACACAAAGTAAAACCAATTCATGCACTTCTCATTTCAATTAGCATAAAAAATCATGTTTAACCATAGGTAGCTTGAAGTAAGAAAGTTTTTCATTCTGTCAGTGTAACAGAACATAACTGGCATGTTTTTCCCCTAAACAACCTGGTTACTCCACAAGAAAAATCACTAAAATCATTTAGTCTAATGCTTAACCCTAATTGTTACTACTACTATTAATCTAAGCACAGCCCTTTAAAGGATTAATGCTATCTATGCATAGCAATAAACTAGAACAAGTGGCAGAAGTCTTACCTTTTGATTGATGTAACAGAATACACAAGAATATAACCATTAATATCTATGGAGTATGTCTGAGGAAAGATGGAATATTCATCCTACGGAAGAAAAAAATGACATTTGAGTAAAGTCTTCATATAGCATAACAATCATCTTTACTCAATGTTTTTCATGTGCTACTATCGGGGTCCCTTAGTGGTCGCCACTTATTGGGGCCCGGAACTGGCCAGGTCTCTGGCCCCAAGCTTATTTAGGTTCCAGATGCGGACCACTAGGCTACCTTGCTCGGGAACAATTGCTCTTAAGTGCCTGAGGGGTATTTGCTTTAGCAGAAGGGAGAGAGAGAGACAGTATTTGAGGGAGTAAAGCACTCTTACTAAGAAGAAAACATCTTAGCAGTCTTTTGTAGGGAGAGACGCTGTGCAGGCATTCTGCAGGCAGGACAAACAACAGAGACAGAGTGAGAGGGCCCGTGATAGAATGGACACTCCGGACTGCCTTCTCTTCCAGCCTCTTATAGACACACTCCAGTGGCTCTTAACACCACAGGTGTAGAGACTGCTAATCACTGATGCTCTTGTCTGGTGAGCTCTCATATCTGTTAGGAGAGCCAAATCGCTCCTCATGCCCTTTTCCCCAAGGTGTTACATTACCGAGCTATACAATTGTTTCTTACAACTCTCACTCTTCCTTGCCATAAGCTATACAGGCTGCTAGATGCTACTTCAAGAAATCACAGTAAATTAAAGAAAAACAAAAACCATAAAATGGATCAAAATATTATTCTAGTAGCATGGTTTAGGCCAATACTGAAAAATAACTCTGGCTGTTCTGGAAGTTTAAGGGCAGGGCTAATGTCATCTACAATTAATTCCTGGGAGAAGAGAATAGAAGAAATCAAAATAATTGCTTCTGGACTTCTCATCCATAGAAGAAAGGTAGTGCTTGTCCCTTGACAGGAGAAGTCCAGAATCTCTTAGACCTCACAAGAAATTTACAAATCCTACTAGTTTATTCCATAAATCTGTAGTTTCATATTTGAAACTGTTATCATTAGGTCAATAATCTGAAATGTTCATCTGAATTAAATGTTTAGTTTATCTTATCTTAAACAAACAGAAGTACAATTAATCAAAGTATGTGCCTAAACTGTGGACGTGGTTTTGCCATCTGACATTAAATCTTAATAGTAGCTTATGTATGCTAGCAGTGAAGAAGCCTGAAGAGCCAGTGGTTTGAAGCCTGGAACATGTGGCAGTCAGAGCAAGGTCTGGTGAATATGGTGAATGACAGAGAGCTTCTAAATCCAGCTTCTGTAATTTGAGCAGTGTTGTTTGTGCAACATGTAGTTGAGCATTGTCTTGCTAGGGCCTTGGTCTGTTTCTGTTGACCAATCTCAGCTGCTTGATCACAAGCATCCTCGTCATGTCATACAGTTGGTTGCAGTAGACATCACTGTAATCAAATGACCAAGTTTCATGAAATAATAGCAGCGCTGGACCACCAAACAGACAACTTTAGCTTTTTGTAATGAATACTCTGCTGTGGACTGTGTTTTGGCACAGCATCTTTATCCAACCAATGTGCTAAACACTTGTGATTGTCAAAAATAATCCATTTTTTATCACAAGTAACAATACAGTTTAGAAATGATTTACATTTATGTTGTGACAGCAAAGAAAGGAAAGCTTTGAGGCAGCTTATCTTTTGATGCTCGTTTAATTCATGGGGGACTCATCTATCCAGCTTCTTTACCTTGCTGATTTGTTTCCAATGGTCCAGTATTGCTGGAGTAGTAACATCAAACCCTGCTGCTAACTCATGTGTAGGTTGAGATAGACTCACTTCTACTACAGCCTTCAGCTCACCATGATCCACCTTGCTCTCAGGATGCCCACATGGCTCATTTTTAAGATTAAAATCAACAGAATGGAACTTCTCAAACCATCACCATACTGTGCATTTCTTAGCCACATCCTTGCCAAACACTTTGTTGAGCTGTCTGCACTGCATTCGTTTCAGGATGTAACTCATATTCAAAAACAACATGAATTTTTGACTTATCCGTGGTTTCACAAAAATTGTTCTAAAAAATATCTGAAATATATTCACAAGCCAAACGTACATTTGAAAGAATGAAGATGTACCTTTACAATAAAAAAAAAAAGAGAGAGGAAAGTGTCAAAGTGAAATGTCAGAGATCCCAACTATCAAACTTAGGACTTAAGGAAATCCGACATCTCATATTTAACCTAGTATTATATAACCCAGTATCTTGAGCATCAATCTACAGGTTGTTAGATGGCTGCCATCAGCATTTGAGAGAGGAAGGAATCAAAGCACTATGCTCAGTGTATCCTGCCTTCCTAGGGACCAAAAAAGGTAATTTACTGAACAACTTTAGAGTAATTAAAAATGAAGGTTTATATTACACAACAATGTATTAGTTTCTTTCTGAAACTTTGCCTTAGACACAGAATTATTAAAGTGTACAAAAAGTTCTGATGCCAATGCACTTTTCATTAGCATATGTCATTGTCTAGTATAAATTTTTTTTTTTTGGAGACAGGGTCTCCTTTGCCCCAGGCTAGAGAGCAGTGCAACCTCAAATGCCTAGGCTCTGGCAATCCTCAACTTCCCAAGTAGCTCGGACTATAGGCCACCCATCACCACACTCGGCTAATTATTTTTTGTTGCAGTTTGGCCAAGGCTGGGTTTGAACCTGCCACCCTTGGTATATGGGGCCGGCACCCTACTCACTGAGCCACAGGCACTGCCCCTAATTTCTTAATTTTTTGCAGAGAGAGAGTCTCACTATGCTGCCCAGGCTAATCTCAAAGTCCTGGCCTCAAGCAGATCCTTCTACCTTGGCCTCCCAAAGCACGAGGATCATAGGTGTAAGCCACTGCGCTTAGCCTACAAACATTTTCTTCTTATTTGAAATGTAATTGTCAACATACCACATGTCCCAAGCACTACTAAAGAAAAATCATGTCATGCCACCACTGGGTTAAGTAGCAGTCTGTTAACCTTGCAAACCCACAGTATAGTTACAACTACTGTTTCTGATAGCCCAGAATTATTACCTTATGATTCTTTAATGAAAACAAAAACAATTAAGTTTTACTATCACTTCTTTGATATAGTAAGATTAAAAATAAAATCCTAAGTGATTTTTGTCACTAGTTCACTCAAAATTCAAATTACCTTTACCTTAGAGGGAAAATGTGGAAATCAAAGAGTAATGGTGCTTAAGAAGTACTGTATAAAAACAAGCAGCTAGGAGGTATGATGATGGGAAAGACCCCAGCTGTAACGGCAACCAAAACAGGAGATAAAATTCCTAAAAACAAATGAAAGTAACAGCATACGATCATATGGTGAAAATCTTAAAATATCCCCAACAAAGCATTTAAATATGCAGAATCATCAGGATATCTATTGACTAATACTAAATTAATACAGAAACATAGTATGATTCTGATACTACTAAAAAAGAAACTATACTTCCTAAGAATAGTCATTGTTAGGGCAGGTATTGGAAACCATAAAACTACAGTAATTCAAGTAATGCTGTACCAGCTCATAAATGGAGCAGACTGTGAAATCTAGAAAGACTCAAATAGATGAAAATGAAATATATGTATTGGCATTTCAATCACTAAAAAAGTGATTGAACTAAACCTTAGTTTAGTGACTGAACTTAAACTAATCACTAAACCTTAACTAGATGTATAGGAACAAGTATGGAGCCATCTGGGGGTGGATAGCTAAACTGGACCTCTAATTCATACCTTGGCAAAAATGTATTCCAGAGGAAGCAGAGACTTAAAGATGAAAACTGTGCATACAGCAGATGGGAAACATTTTAAAAAATCAATTAAAAAAAGATTAGTAAATTCGACTACGTGAAAATGAGAAAGTTCTTCAAGGCTGAAAACCTCTGAAACAAAAACCATAAACAAAAGACAAATTGAAAACAAAACAAAACCCTGCATCTCAGATCATATATAAAATGGTAATTTTCTTCACACATCAATGAATTTTTCAAATCAACAAAGACTAACCATCCAAAGAGGGGGAAATGGCATAGCATATGGACTGACAGGATAATTCATAGAAAGAAAATACAAATGTTCTTAACTGTGAAAAATCAAAAGAAAAATGCATACTGAAATTACACTGGGATGTTATTTTTCACTTATCAGATTGGCAAATATCTAAGAATTTATAACATACTGCATGGTCAGGGTGCAGGGACACAGACCCCCTCATTCACTGTTGGAGGTAGCAGGACTGCCAACAAACTGCTGATCAGTAGTTAAGACATAGCCAAACAACTGAATATTACACAGCCAAGGGGGAGACAGAGGCCATCATGTATGGACATGGAATAATCTCTAAGATGGAGATGGATTATTTTTTGTGTAAAGAGGAAGAAGTAGCTTCAAAATCTATCTTCATATACATGTGTAAAATATCTTCGAAGTATATACTAGAAATAGGTAGGCGGGGGTGCTAAGATAGCTAGGGGTGGGAAAGATTAAGTTCTACTACTTACCTTTTTGTCCTGTTTCACTTTTGTATCATGTACATTTCTTTTTTTTTTTTTTAAACAGCTTTTTAAAAAGATGAATTTGGTTATGGTTACATTATAAAATTGATGATTGCCACTGACTTGTTACTGAATTTAATTATTAATGCAGAATAGGCTAAATTCTGCTACCTCACATCCTTTTTTATTTTTATTTTTAAAGAGATACACTTTCACTATGTAGCCCAGGCTGGTTTCAAACTCCTAGCCTCAAAGCAATCCTCTGATCTCAGTGACCTAAGTAGCTGGGATCAAAGGCGTTGGCCACTATGCCCTGAAGCCTCACATTCCTACCCTCATATTCATTTAGGGTACAAGCTCTCACCTCAAAATTAGGCCAAAATAAAATATTTCACATAATCTAAGAAGAATCAATTTGTATTTAACTATATTCATCCTCACCATCCCTAGCTAGGCAATTATGTCACAGTGGTATAGATGCACTCATACAAACTACTAAGTTGTAAAAAGTATTTGGGCAGCACCTGTGGCTCAGTGGGTAGGGCACCGGCCCCATATATGGAGGGTGGCGGGTTCAAACCCGACCCCAGCCAAACCGCAACAAAAAAATAGCTGGGCGTTGTGGCAGGCGCCTGTATCCCCAGCTACTCAGGAGGCTGAAGCAAGAGAATCGCCTAAGCCCAGGAGTTCAAGGTTGCTGTGAGCCGTGTGACGCCACGGTACTCTACCAAGGGCGATACAGGGAGACTCTGTCTCTACAAAAATAAATAAATAAATAAATGAATAAATTAAAAAAAAAAGTATTTGTTATCATGTATTATAATAAAGCAATTTACTGTGTGTTATTCTATTCCTAAAATGTGTAAGAGCTAGTGAACAAATTTACTATAGATGACTTTTGAAGGAATTTGCCCCACAATACTCTGAAACAGCAGAAAGAGATGATTGTTTTACCATCATGAATTCTAAATACTAAAATAACCTTTTATTTTATTATCTCCCACTGTGAATATAACCAACAACTATTAGTTGCAATAAGAACAAATTATTCAAACAAGCTAAATTTCTTTAAATACTCTTAGTTGCAACAGAGCCACTAATATGACCACTGCTAGTTATGTTACTCCCTTTTGGTTTCACTATTTGTATTATTCTATCATTAAAACACTTAAAAATATCTGATGGGTCCAAGTGCATTTTATGTCTTAGAACAAAACAGTACCTCGGAGGAACACATCTACTTTGATAGAGAGTCACTATAAAGAAATCTCTGTAGAGAAATGTTCATGGACAGCTCTCTACTATTAAGAACACCTGTACTTCCACCATTCACTGTTAATGTCAACAGGATTATCACGATAGGCCATCAGTCCAGCCTTAGTAGCACCAAAGCTCTGCAACAAAAGAGCACATCCTTTCTGGCCTCAACGCTAATAATCCTGTGAAGGTGGGTACCACAGTTACCACTATTTTCTAGATGAGGTGCTGAGGCTCAGAGAGGTTTCACTTTCTCTAGGTCATTGGGTTATTAGCCAGAAAACTAGGCCTTAAACCCAGACAAGTTGTCTAGAGCCCACACCCAGACAACTACCAATTACTACCTCCCCTGCTGGTCTGATACAGAATGTTTCTATAGTAAAATTACATGGAAGCCATTATTCAATTTACATCCTCTCCTCCATTTTTTAGAAGCTTGAAGATTCCAAATAAAAGCAAACTGAAATCTTGACAGTGTCAGGGTTACACTACAAACAGAATAGCTACATTTCTTTGCCCAGGATAGGTTTACACCTTTTGTCCCAGCATAATTATTACTAGCACTCTCTTCCCTCACCAAATGCCTTGGTTTCTTAGCCAGTTAACTCTGAAAGAAAGATATAAACTCTAAGAATCCAACGTAATTTCCTACCTATGGCTCTTCTCCACTAACTTCTAAGATGAGCTGTGCCATCTATGTAATGGGTCCCTGAGAGACTTCTACTGACCCCCGGTCCCAACAGGAGCCCAGGTAACTCTGATCTAATGAAACCATGAAGATGTCTCATTGCTAAGTACATTATACTGACCCTCGAGTGGGAGTGGGTAGGGTGTATGAGGGAGGCATATGTAGCTCTGTGTACAAGCTCAAAGAGACAAACACATTTGTTTTATTTTCTTCAAAGCAACCAAAATGCAAACTCCACGGTTTTCTCCAGTGCTTAGATTACTCAATACAGTTATTTTCTTTTTTCTTGTTTTAGAGACCAAGTCTCACTCTGTTACCCTGGGTAGAGTGCCATGGTGTCACAGTTCACACAACCTCAAACTCTTGGGCTCAAGCGATTCTTTTGCCTCAGTCTCCCCAGTAGCTGGGACTACAGGTGCCCACCACAACACCTGGCTGTATTTCTAGAGATGATCTCACACTTGCTCAGGCTGGTATGGAACTCCAGAGCTCAAGCGATTCACTCACCTTAGCCTCCCAGAGTGCTAGGATTACAGGTGTGAGCCACCACTCCTACTACTCTCAATACAGCTATTTTCTTATTTCATAAGGAGCCACACTTTCCTTCTACATCAACTTCAAAACATAAAGCAGACAGAATTCACCCTAAACCCAAAGGACCTGTTCCCAGGTTCTAGGAAGAAAGCCTTTATTTAACATGGCAGACCACATCATGCCACACCCACCTTCCTGTTGGTCTGATTCTTTGTCAGTCACAAGACACAAAGGCAGGAGAGTAGGCCGAAACCCAGCTTCTGTATGCTCCACATTCTCCAGTGAATAGGGATTGATTCAGTCTGACAGAATGGTTTCTATTAAGGGCAGGACTGTATACAAGGGTTATGGGGCAGCTAAGCTGTCAAAAGGGACTTTTTGGTCTAAGTACTCATTTTTTTCCCACCCTGCTTCCAGTCAATCCCCCTGGCAAGTCATTCCACACTGTTGCTGCATTAATTAACCTATGAGTACCCTTTCTTGGCGGCTAACTTAACCTTTAGCAATCACCTACTGTCTAGTAAATCAAATCAGCATTCCCTAATCCAGTCATCACTCTCATAGCCATTCACCAGATAATTTAACTATATAAACTAAAGGCACGACTCAAATTGGATTTTAGACTCTAACCAAATTGGTGTTTTAAGGTCCAACTCTTCACAAGATGAAATCAAGTCCTTTCTGCCCTGTGCCCTTTTCATTCCTTTCCCCTAGGAAAAATTTACTTTTGATCTTAATATAGGAGAACACGTTATTATTATATATGGGGAGAAAAAGCACTAATGAGTCTCTAATTAAAGTTTAGAAAATAGAAAACTACTATCCTGTAATAAACGATTACTTTCACAATGTTAAGAATATATTTAAAATAATTCTAAAATAGAAAAACAAGTTATTTAAATAACTGTCTTAGAAAAGATGAAGTAGATAGCATATTAATATTCAGATGTTCCTTTGACTTATGATAGGATCAAGTCCCAATAAGCCTACTGCAAACTGAAAATATCCTACGTTGAAAATGCATTCAATACTCTCAATAAACTCACTATTGAGTTGAGAAACCATAAGTCAAACCAGTTGATGCAGGGACCATCTGTAAACAGCATGAAGGATTTTCGTGGCACAGCTATCGTGTTTAAAAATCAGTGCTAGAGCCAGGACTATTAGAAAGGCTATACAAGATTCTGAGATGCCAGAGGTCACTTACTTGCCCAGCTGTGTCTACAAGCTGAAGATGATATTCTTGTCCATTTACTGTGATCAACTTTGTGAAAGCTAAAGACAAAAAGGGAATTAAATGTTAGTTAAAAAATTAACTTAGATCACTCAAAGTTTGAACAATGATAACCAATCAAGCCATAGAATCCCTAAAAGTCTCACAAAAAGGTCCCATGAATTAAAAAAGAACAAACTTTTGAGTTGTATGACTTCTCCTCAACTTCCATTACTTAATGAAGAAACATTGGTTGACTAAAACCAAGCACGAGTAAACCCTCAATCTTTTTCAAAAAAACTGAAAGGAGGCAATAACTCAGTCCATAAAAATGGTCTGAGTGCTCTGTTGTGAGTCCTTCCTCTTATGAAAAAGTAAAAATACATTACATAAAGAAATGAGGTCTAGAATGAACCAAAACCAATTAATTTTCTGTTAATTTACAGAAAGTCTGATGCCAAAGCACAAAGAGCTAATATGTATGTATTAAGAAGTGCTAAGAGTGCTAAGAACTTTTAGTTCATAAAAACATTAACAATTTCATTGACATAAAACACCAAAGGAACAGACGTTGTGTTGAAGTCATCATTCCCACTTAGTGTAAGGATCTAAGCAATTTGTCATAACTTCTTTTCCCAAGGAGGAAAACAAATCAGACTCAAATAACTTCTGGAAAAGTAAATTCAGAATTCTAGGAAGACAGACTTCAAGCAAATATAGACAAAAAAGGTAAGAACTACTAATAGTAGCTGAATAGAAAATAACCTGGAACACTGACAAGGAAGTGGAATGAATTTCTTCCCCATACCCAGCTGCAGCCACCTTGACTCACAAAGAGCCTCCAACCTCCTGGCCATCCTGCGCATTTAGCCAAGCAGCAGGCTTTATTCCTTGCACAGCTAAGAGAGGTCTCACTGTCCACAGCCAAAAGGCAAAGCCAAAACAGACGAATGGAAATTATGCAAGAAACACTTAAGTGACAAGGAGGACAAATAGATCTTATCTGAATTATATGAAGATGGCTGAAAGAGAAGCAATAATCAAAGAGAATCCCATCAGCATCATACTTCTCTAACACAAGTGGGGTGCTAGAAGTCATGTGAGGAAAGATTACAGAATAATCTGTGCAAGCCATCGGCCACACTTTATAGTATTTTTTTTTTTTTTTGAGACAGAGTCTTATTTTGTCGCCCTCTGTAGAGTGCCATGGCATCATAGCCCACAGCAACCTCAAACTCTTGGACTCAAGCAATTCTCTTGCCTCAGTCTCCTGAGTAGCTGGAACTACAGGTGCCCTCCACAACGGCCAGCTGTTTTTAGAGATGAGGTCTCACTCTGGCTTAGATTGTTCTCAAACTCGTGAACTCAGGTGATCCACTCACCTCCGCCTCCCAGAGTGCTAGGATTACAGGTATGAGCCACTGGACCCGGCCTACTTTATAGTATTCTTATACCCTTTCTGGAAATTATCACTTTAAGGAAAAGTTAAATCAGGGGAAAAACTGAATCAGAATTATTTCAAGATGGGGAATATCTAATATATCTGTTTCACTAATTCTAAAAACAAGTTCTAAGGTATTTTTTCATATGGTAACTAACCTTTTAGAACTTGGCAAAGATCTTACACTGTCAGAGCTTTTGGTCACTGTCAGCCAGGGGGCAGTCATGACGTAGCTGTGTGAAAACCTTCAGTTAGGTAAGACCAAAAAGTGCATTTTAGATTTGATGAAAACTATGTAAAAAAACTGGTGAGCAATAAAACCAGTGATGTTCAATCAGATCTAAGTAACTATGGTTATGAAATATCATAATCACTGTGACAAGATAATTAAAAAAAATCATTTATTCACACATGCATGCATTCATTCAAGAACTATTTCCTAAATGACACAAAGTCTATGTTAACCAGTTTGATGAAAATATTTCAAATTGTATATGAAAACACTACACTGTACCCCATGTTTGCATTAATGTATACAGCTATCATTTAATAATAATAATAATAATAAAAGAACTATTTCCTGAGTGCCATCTCCACTAGTGGTACTGTTCTAGATGCCTGGGATGGGGTAGTCCCTGATATGCAGTGAGCCTGGATCCCAGTGAAGGAGGAAAGACACAGACACACACATGCCCCCACAGGCCCTGTCAGGTACTTTGTCAGGGTGAGGGCATCCAGGCAGAGGTTAAACAGCAAGAGAAAAAAGTCAAAGCAGCTGAAGCTGAGAAAGAACAGTGAGTGGGCAGGTTGGAGAAGAGACAAAAGTACTTCCAGAACTTTGGATTTTTATTCTGAAAGTGATGGGAAACCAAGGAAAGATTGCTCTAGCTATGCTGTGAATAACAGAAAAAATGGACACAGGGCTATTAGACCTACAGTGACCAAAGTTGTGAGTATCATGATCTACAGCAGATAATGCCAGCTGACTTACAGGGGTAGATATTCTGGATGTGCTTTTGGTAGAACCAAAGAATTTTCTGACTGATTGGAAGTGGGGTGTGAGAGAAAGAGCAGTTAAGGATGATGCCAAGGTTTTTGGTTAATCAGCAAAATGAACAGAGTTGCCCTTTACAAATATAGGAAAGACCAAGGGAAGAACACTGGGAGTGGGAGAGGCAGAGAATCAAAGTTGGGTTTTTGGTATGTTATGTTTGTGATGCTGATTAAATATCTAAGGGGGAAAGAGGGCAGTTAAATAAAAAAGCCCAGAGCTCAGAGGAGGGGTTTCAAACACATGTTTGTGAGTCAACAGCAAATTGAGGAGAAAGAGGGGAAGCTCATTAGAGAGCAAGAGCAGAGAAAAGGCCTGTGTATGGGACACACCCTCCAGTGCCAAGTCAAGGCTGCAGAATACTCAGCCAGACTGGGAAGTGCTGGCCAGTGAAGTAAGAGATTAAATCTTACATAATATGCAATAGAAACAAAATACTAATGAAAGTTTGAGCATATCTTTGCACATAAAAAGGACATAAATCCTCCTACATGTAAGAAAAAACATGAAAGTAAAGACCTTCCAGTTTATAATGGGAAAATAGATTTTTTTTTTGTTAGTATAGAAAAAACAAAGAATGTAATGAGAGGTGACAGGCAAGGAGGAGCTGTATTCTGCCCTCTCATTTCCACCTCACACAGAGGAGAAAACCCTCTCTCCTCAATGACTGGAAGAATGAATCCACTTCCAATTTAAAATCCCGAAATTCCCCTACGTAGACCAATAACTGTACTAGTAATAAGTAAGGTAATAAAGATTTCTAAAATTTGGTATTCGCAAAGTAAGATTAGTGTTACTAAAGCATGGTAAGGTCATGCTTGATAATGCTGCAAAGCTCCTAATTGGAATTTCACAATTTTTTGAAAGAAGCTTTATCATTCATCAATAGTACTACCCTGAGATAGCAAAAGTTGTAAACTGCTGCTATTCTTGCTTTTAAATTATCAACTACCACTAATTTAGTTTCATCATATTAACTCAGCTTGCAATGAGTTGTTAGATTAACACAATAGTAGATAATAAATTCATTTGCATTAAGCAATATTTCTGGTCTAAAAATGTCCCCAAGCTGGAAAATGTAGTTTTATTGACGTTATTTTCTACTGTTAAAGATGACACTTTCCCACAATTTTTGCTTTTATAACACCTCATAGAAATTTGTCACCACTGAATGTTTACTATAAATAGCCTACTCTACCTTATAAAGATATAAGTGTAAAATGATTTCCTAATTAATTCCAGATCTGTACAGTCCTTTTTTTTTTCCCTTTTTTTTCAGTTTTGGCCCGGGCCAGTGCCCTACTCCTTTGAGCCACAGGTGCCACCCTCCCCCCCTTTTTTTAAGTCTGTTACCCCAGGTAGAATGTAGTGGTGTCATCACAGCTCACTGCAACTTCAAACTCCTAGGCTTAAGTGATCCTCCTGCCTCAGCCTCCTGAGTAGCTCAGACTACAGGCACTCACCAGGAATCCCAGCTAAGTTTTTTATTTTTAGTAAAGATGGGGTCTCACTCTTGCTCAGGTTGGTCTCCAACTCCTGGGCTCAAGTAATCTTCCCAACTCAGCCTCCCAGAGTGCTAGGATTATAGGTGTAAACCACCAGGCCAGATGTATTTTTAAAATCACAAAACCAGGGTGGTGCCTGTGGCTCACTGGGTAGGGCGCTGGCCCCATATACTGAGGGTGGTGGGTTCAAACCTGGCCCCGGCCAAACTGCAACAAAAAAAATAGCTGGGTGTTGTGTCGGGCACCTGTAGTCTACTCGGGAGGCTGAGGCAAGACAATCGCCTAAGCCCAGGAATTGGAGGTTGCTGTGAGCTGTGTGACACCATGGCACTCTACTGAGGGCATAAAGTAAGACTCTGTCTCTACAAACAAACAAACAAAAAACACAAAACCATCCAATTATGTTGTTAGCAACAAGTTCATGGTAACCATTTCCTTTCTTTCACTGATATTGCTGAACGATGCTTTTCTACCAAATAGTGAGGGAAAAGATGTGATAAAGGTTTCTGCCCTGTGTTAGACTACTAGAAGTACAGCAAATAGAACATAATGTCTGAACATGCTTCATGAACTTTTAATGGATATATATAATCATATATTCATTTCTGTTCTTGCCTACAGACTTTAATAAATACTCTGAATTCTTTTTTTAGATTAAAAAGTCTTTGTTATTAAACATTAAGAACAGGAAACAGTTTAAAACATGATTAAAGATGATGGTGACAGCTTTAAGTAGTGGTCGTGTCATATTCTGTCTCTGAGATAGTATTGAAGTACATAAATTGGACTTTTTCTGATCTATTATTTATGTATAAAGAAAAAGTACTGTTACACAACACCATGACTGTCCTCCCACCTCCTTTTCTTTTAAAAGATGTCCTGCTTTGTCACATAGGCTTAGAGAGTAGTGGCATGATCATAGCTCACTGCAGCTTTGAACTCCTAGGCACAAGTGATCCTCCCTCCCCAACCTGCCAAGTAGCTAGGACTACAGGGATGCTACCATGGCTGAATAATTAAAAAAAAAAAAATTTGGTGGAAACACGGGTCTCATATGTTGCCTAGGCTGGTCTTAAACTGACCTCAAGCCCTTCTTCCACCTGAGCCTCTTAAAAGTGCTGAGATTACAAGTGTCAGCTACTGAGCCTGGGTCAACTCATTTTTAAACAGCATAAGGATGTACAATTATTAAAACAACAACAACAACAACAACAAAACACTTTTATGGGCAGAATTTAACAAGTAAACTACCTTGTATTGGTTTTGTGAATAAAATTCCCAAATTACTCCTAATCTTAAGGATATATAATCCTAAATTGCTATGTGTGGTAACAAAGGCCAAGATCATGGTCCAGTAGATAGATAACCAAACTTGTCCACCTAATATTTCTCTTAATGAGTTTACTATTCTATAAATGACCAGCTTAATGAGTCACAGGATGCAGCCAGGACTCCTCCCTGCACAGATACACCCACAGAGGTTACTCTGAAACATGGGTCTTTCCAGAATTAGTTTATCAACCAACAGGTTTCCCTCTCTGTCACCAGCACACTGAGACACAAAGAACAGACAAATATGTTAAGCCAAGGGTGGGTAAACTTTTCCTGTGAACAGCCAGATAATAAACGTTTGAGGTCCACAAGACTTACGGTCTCTGCTGCAACTATTCAGCAATGCTGCCACCACAAGGTGCAAAGGAATGAGCATGGCTGCATGCCAGTAAAACTGTATGGGTGTTAAAATCTAAATTTCATATAATTTTCATATGTCACAAATATTATCCTTCTTTGAACCTTCCAAGAGTATTTAAAAATGTAAAAACCTTTCTTAGCTCTTCAGGTATATACAACCAGGTGGTAGATCTTTTGGGACTATAGGGTGCAGTTTGCTAACACCACTCTTCCCTGGTGTGAGCCAAAGCATTTAATCAGGTGTCCTCAAACTATGGCCCCTGGGCCACGAGGCCTGCCTAGGGCATTTATCCAGCCCACTGGGTGTTTGTGCTGCTGCTGCCTGTCCTGCTTAGTAGCAAACTCATCCCAGGGCCCGCAGTCCAGCCCTCCAAGAGTCTGAGGGACAGTGACTGGTCCCCTGTTTAAAAAGTTTGAGGACCCTTGATTTAAATGCTTCTCTTGGAAGCTTCAGCAAGTAAAGTCTATGAATCTAGTCATCACAAGTTTGTGAACCCAGCTGTTAAATCTGCTTCCAGTCTAAATGTCTAACGTGCCAATTAGATTTTGATGAATCTGATGTTAAGGATGTACGTTCCTGGTGACAAATCCTAGGTAAGTCCTGGTCTCAAGAATCTGAGAAAACTACTTTCAGGACCTTCCTGGAGTTCTCAGACCGCTTGAACCAAGACCAGCTTCATTGGAGAAACAAAGCTGGGCACCACAGAACATGCCTGTAGCCTCAGCTACTCAGGAGGATCACTTCAGCCCAGGAGTTCAAGTCTAGCAAGGACAACAGAGCAAGATCTTGTTTCATAAAAACAAAGTGGGTGGGGATTTACCTTATGGTCCTAGAAGCCTTCAAGAAGATTATGAAACCATTGATTGAAAATGAACAAAGTTAAAGGTTCTGGTCTTCCCTGCTTTTGTCTGCACGTGGCCTGAAATGCCAACAGGCTTTTTGAGCCAAATTCTTTTTAATGTTGCAACTGGTCTCTCCAATGCAAGGTTAGGCCATTTCTCTTTGAAGTCTTTTTTTTTCTTTTTTTTTTGACAGAGTTTCACTCTGTCACCCTGGGTAGACTGGGTAGAATGTAGTGGCATCACATCTTACAGCAACCAAGCCATTCTCTCTCTTGCTTCAGCTTCTCAAATAGCTGGGACTATAGGCACTGGCCACAAGGCCTGGCTAGTTTTTTGGCAAAAAGGCTGTGGAGAAATTGGGGTGAGTGTACAACTGGTTCTATAAGAGCAAGAAACAAGGGATCTGGAGTGTTTTCATTCTTTCAAACTCAGAATTCCTAAAAAGTGCCACTGCTGAGAAAGGGGTAAAAAAACCTACTCTCTATTTCTGTTCTGAGGCTGATGCCGGATGCGATCATTTCAATACTGGACCAGATTTCTACTGACTTGATTAACAATTTTTAGCCAGCAGGGGATATGGACACTGAATAAAAAATCTTTCAGTATAAAGTGGGTAAAGTTTTTGGGAGTTTTCTTTGACCCCAACTGGGATAGATATAGATTTTACCCTCTGTAATCAAAGATCTGTGAATACACAATGGCTATTTGTACACAAAAGGAAGCTTCTCAGTTTAAGTACTTGAAAACAATACTTACTGTTTTCTATGGTTGGATCATAGGAGTCAACAAATTGGCCTTCAACAAATTGAATCGTCAGTGAGGATTTCCCTACAAAAGAGAACAAGAGCTCAGAATGAATTGGCATATTCATATTAAGGTAAAAAATTTTAATTCTACTGCTTTATTAAAAAAATCACTAATAGGTGAAGAAAGTAAAGGTATTAGGGTCAGAAAATTCCTTTTAACCCTTAGACTGCAGAGGGCTCAGAAACAAAAAGTACCCACTGTACCAACCCAGCATCTTGTTTGAATATGAACTTAGGTATAAGCATTGGCAGTTAAAAGGCTAGTTAGCACGTGAGCAATTTCAAAAAATGAAATAAATTTTATTAATTTGCTTTTTAAGAGAGAACTTTAAGCAATTAAGCTATTATAAATTAAACACTTCCACTCTGAAGGTCCAAGATAAGTCAATATTCTCCTGTCCTTGAGATTCATGTATTTAACATGTTAATAAAATGATTAGTTTCTTCATGTTCTTTCATATATGACTTTTAAAAGTGTTACCAGTTATAGCTTTTATAAAGAGTAAGTAATCATATAAGTTTTTATTTTAAAAATTCTTAGAAGACAGGAATCCTGGCTTGGCGCCTATAGCTCAACCGACTAAGGCGCCAGCCACGTACACCTAAGGTGGCGGGTTCGAATCCCCAGCCCGGACCCGCCAAACAACAATCATGGCTGCAACCAAAAAATAGCCGGGAGTTGTGGCGGGTGCCTGTAGTCCCAGCTACTTGGGAGGCGGAGGCAGGAGACTTGCTTGAGCCCAGGAGTTGGAGGTTGCTGTGAGCTGTAATGCCACGGCACTCTACCCAGGGCGACAGCTTGAGGCTCTGTCTCAAAAAAAAAAAAGAAGATAGGAATCCTATCTCAGTCATTCAGTATTAAAGGCTTAATTAACAGTACCTAGACAACTAAAGACATCTTTTGGATTTTACCAAATCACTAGTAATAATTGAGTTCATTAATGTTAACAAATCAAGAACTAGAGGGTCCTAATTTCTTATCCTTCTGTTTGTTACCTAAACTTTTTATTGGAAGACTTTAGAAGAAAATGCATGTCCTATGCATGATTTAGCTATAAACTAAAAATAACATCCTAAATCCCCTGTTCTGACTAATGAACCCTCTCACTTGGCCAATGGACTCCAGGAAAACCTTAAACCTGAGTTTCCAGAAAAGGCAGAAAGGGAGGTTGGACATGCCTATTATATTCTCTCCCTTTAGAGTTTAGACACCACTTATCAGCATTAATGTTGAAGCAGAGGTAATAAGACTGACATAACAGATTCTTTGTGGCAGTAAGATACTAAATCACAAGCAAGATCTAAGGCCATGCAACATACTTGCAGTCCATCAATTTTGTTTAACAATTTATTTTCAGTAGGTATTATGGCTTGCTCTATGATTGAGCAGCCTTACTGAACTTAAAACATTCCTTTCTATGGATGCCAAACTTTTAATTTAGAAAAAGCTTTATTCCTTTAACCAATTACAGATTAAGAATCTCTGGCTTGGCACCCACAGCTCAGTGGTTAGGGCAACAGCCACATGCACCAGGGCTGATGGGTTCTAACCTGGCTTGGGCCTGCTAAACAACAATGACAACTACAACAACAACAAAAAATGGCTGGGCATTGTGGCAGGCACCTGTAGTCCCAGCTACTTGGGAGGCTGAGGCAAGAGAACCACTTAAGTCTAACGGTTTGAGGTTGTTGTGAGCTGTGATGCCACGACACTCTACTGGAGGTGACACAGTGAGACTCTGTCTCAAAAAAAAAAGTCTCTTGAGTCCATCCACAACCTACAAGCCCCCACTTGAGGATATCCTGCCTTTCCAGGCTGTACCAATGTATACCACCTTCCATGTATTAATTTATGATTTTACCTGCAATTCTTATAAGCCCTGAAGTGTATAAAACTTAACGGTAATCTGTGCTTCTGGGGTTTGTGTATCTATAGGCCTCACTCACTCATGTTGGCTGAGAATAAACCTCTTTATATTTTTTACTGTTTGGCTTTTCTGTTAATAGAACACAGTGCAGGTGACTTTATCACTAGGAAAGTGGTCCCTCCCTAATTTCACCCAAACCCTCTCTCCTCTCTCTCTTATATCCTCAGAACATTAAATACATGCTCTATAGGCTGACCATCCTTCACTTCACTTCCATCACTGCAGCTGTGCAGTGAGAAAGAGAAAAGAGAGCCACTGTAACACCACCCTCCCCCTTCCTAGAGTTCAAGTCAAGCACTTTCCCCTCCTCAATCACGGAGCCCTACAGTTCACAGGTGGCACAATGTTTTCACACCAGAGGCATTTCCTACACATTTAAAGGTGGCTTATTTGCTAGGCATAGTCCTTAGGAGGCAGAGGCAGAAGGACTGCCTGAGCCCAGGAGCAAAAGTGCAGTGAGCCCTGATGGTACCATTGTACTCCAGCCTGAGTGACAGAGACTCTATCTCTTTTATTAAAAACAAAACAAAACAACGACAAAAAAACAAAAGCTGACTTAAAAGTAGGAGCTGCCGGGAGACAAGAAGAAAATCCATTCAGCCATAAAAAAAGATAGTGACTTCACATCTTTTGTATTATCCTGGATGGAGCTGAAACACATTCTTCTTAGTAAAGGATCACAAGAATGGAAAGGCAGTTATCCAATGTACTCAATTCTAATATGAAGCCAGTCTAATGCATGGCCACACAGGAGAAAAACTCATTTCAATTCAAGTGGGGGGAGAGGGACAGAGAAGAGAGAAAGGGAAGGGAAGGGGAGGGGAGGGAGAGGGGAAGGGAGGGAAAGGGGAAGGGAGGAAGAGGGGAGTGGAAGGGAAGGGGGAAAGAAGGAGGGAAGAGGAAGAAGGGAAAGGGAAGGAGGGGGGAGGGGAAGAGGAAAGGAGGGGAAGAGGAAGGAAGGGGGATGCTCCCAGTGAATGGGCAAGGTTTGGGAGTGTTTGGCACACCTTTTGAGGGTGGGACATAACCAACAAGAGGGACTCTACCTAAGAAAATCAAATATTTTGAAGTGATTGTTTGTACCCTCACATTAACCTGAAATTAAAAAAAAAGTCCAGAAGTTGGCAGACCTAATGCTTCTCACCAGCAGCTCAGTACGTAGTTCAAAATGTCTCTGGAAGTACTAAAACCCAAAATCATTCTTTAAAAAGCAGCCTACATAACTGAAAATTAAATGTCAGTCTTCTGCTTAAAATCTTCATTACAATTAGAATTCCCAACGTCTGACCAAGGCTCACATACTACCATCCCCTTTCCGCTCTGGCTACTTCTCTGACCTCATCTGCCAACATTCCTCATCCACCCCTCAGGTTCCAATCCTATCCCTTCTGCTCTTGCCAAGTCCATGCCTGCCCTGGCTCTTATTCCAAGCCAACACCCTCTCCTCATCGTTGAATGTATGACTCATTTTCATCTTTCTGATCTGAGCTGAAGAAACCTCCATCAAGACCATCTTGAAAGCAGCACCCATTCCCTAACAGACCTCCACAGCTACCTCATATTCCTCCTTGGTATTTGATGTAATCTGAAATGACCTTCATTTATTGATTACCCCTCTGAGACCAGCATAGTGTACACACACTGCAGACAATCAGATTTCTGAACAAATGAATGAAATTAAAGCTCAGACCTCCTTAAGTCAACCTCATCCATTTGGATACTACAAGATCTCAAATTTTATACAAAGGAATAGTAAATAGTTCAAGAGAAATTAAGAAGCAATTCAAGTAGTATTTATTGGTACCCAATCATGGGCCTGCCTATGATACCGGGATACAATAGTATTTCAGGAACTCTACACATTTCAAACAGACTGTGTTCAAAAGAAAACATGTACTGTGTTTCCCCGAAAATAAGACCTACCCAAAAAATAAGCCCTAGAAGGATTTCTATGCATTTGTTAAATATAAGCCCTATCCCATAAGAAGACCCAGTGATGGGTGTGACTATGCAGATATACCATGCATTCTGACTGAGAGCGGTAAGGAAGACTGGAATACCTTTTATCTGCCACAGCTCCTTTCTCCAAGCTGTTCACACTTGTGCACACTTGTGCGGGTGTGTGTGTGGTAACCGCGGTCACAGGCATCCTGCTGCACATGCAAATGGCTAGGGGAAAGGAGTTCACGCATCACTAGTGCCAGCCCCACCAACAAGGTCGGCTCTCCCTGTCAGGTTCCAGAAGATGACTGAACTGTATTTGAATAAATGTAGATTGTTGTATTATACTTAATAAAAATAAGGCATCCCCTGAAAATAAGCCCTAGTGTGTTTTCTTGAGAAAAAATAAATATAAGACAAGTGTCTTATTTTCAGGGAAACATGGTGTTAGCTCACAAAGAATTTAACTCAAAATATAGCAGAACTATTTTATGTAATGAAAAGAGGGAAAACTTATGTTAAAGTCAAAAAATTAAAAAACATAAAATTGTTATTTACACTGAATGCTATTGGTTGAAGCAAATTAGTTTAATTAGAATGAAATAACACAAAAAGAAACTTCTTAAGCGTTTTTTTTTGGAGGATACTTTCAGGGACTGGTGGGTTTTTGATACCCTTACCCAATGTAGATAGATAAGGGTTTGAGTTTTTTTTTCCCCCCTTACGAACAGAAATAATGTAAAGAAAGAAAACATTTTTCATTACCAAAAAAAGGAGGGATTAATATATTTTTATTACTTTTTGGGAAGTAGATCTGGACTAAAAATATCAAAACAAAGGGGTGAAGGTGATGATACATGTAATAAGCTCCCCAAGAGTTACGAGACAGTTCTATATTGGCAAGAGCCAAGTTTCAGCATTCCTGCCTTGCAGGAGTGAAAGGAGAAGAGCCCTAAGTATTACCATCTGAAATTTAGGGAACCACGTTCACCCTGAAAAGTTATACACACTAAACATGACTGCATTGAGATAAAGAGCAAAAAACAGAGTTATAGATAATAAGTGGACCGCATTTAAAAGATACAATCATTGTTAGACATTTAAAGAGTTCCGGATTTGTATAATAAAAAGGCATAAATTATTTGGCAGGCTC